ATATATATATATAATATATATATATATATATTTTTATATAATATATATACCTATATATATATATATATATTATATTATATATAGATATAAATATATATATATATATATATATTACTCTCAAGCACATACCATTATCATCAATATTCAATATGCATCATAATTATTCATTATTATGAATAGACGCACAAATGCACAAAATTAAAACACAGAATCACTGAAGACTACATTAATATTGACCTGACCTTGATGGACATCTTGTCAGGAAAATAATTCAATAGAGAAGATATACATCATTCAAATGTTGTTGTTTTTTTTTCTTTTTTTTTTTTATTTGTGTGTGCGATCACTAGATTATGCCATTAGTTATTCTTCCTTTTCTTTAAATTCTTATTATTATCATTGCTATTATCCTCATCATTATAAGAATAATTTTTGCTTTATTGTCAACATATGATCATTATTATCATAATCTTTGTCATCTATGTTATTATTAATATATTTATTGTTATCATTATTATCATTACCATCGTCGTCACCATCCTCATCCTCATCCCTCATCCTCATCATCATTATCATCATGATCATGATCACAGTTATTATCATTATCATTACTACTATCATTCTCATACCGAAAAAAAAGTAAAGGCACAAAATTAATACACAAAATGAATACAGAATTCAAAAGAAAACGCAATCAGCAAATCATGGGATTAAAAACCACACAGAAACCCACAACAGTGCTCAAAAAACGTAATAATTCTTAGAATGCGAAGAGGCTGCACCGCATCTCTTACCCGTTCAGATGTTTGGCCAAATTCTCGTAATATGCGTCATCTTGGTTAATACTGGAAGGAAATAATATTATCATTAAAATCTTGGTTCCTAATTATCACAATAAATACTATATCATCCATTTATCTATCTATCTGTTATCTATTTGTTTGTCTGTCTGTGAATCTGTGCCTATATTCCTTTCCTTGCAGACATATACTTTGCATTTTTCCTCTCGCTTTCTTTTTTTCTCCTACCTCTCTTTCTCTTTTTTTTTTCTTTCTCTTATCTCTTTACCTTTCTCTTTCTTCTTCAACTCTTTCTCTTTCTTCCTCTCTCTCTCTCTCTCTCTCTCTCTCTCTCTCTCTCTCTCTCTCTCTCTCTCTCTCTCTCTCTCTCTCTCTCTCTCTCTCTCTCTCTCTCTCTCTCTCTCTCTCTCTCTCTCTCTCTCTCTTCTCTCTCTCCTTCTCCTAAGAAACTCACAGAATCGGGACCACTCGGGCTCCAGCGCTCTCCAAATGCTTCACGTAGGATGCAGCGATGTAGGATGTGTAATTCTTATCCTCCAACCCTTCAAGGATGCTGTCCGAAGGATGCTGAGATAGGATGCCTGGGAGATTTTTGTGCGGCAAGATAGAAATGATAATGCTTGATATGCTTTTTTTCTTTCTCTCTTTCCTTTCCTTGCACAATCTTATAGGTTATGTAAATATTTTTATTTCAATGTGCAAAAGACTTTTTGGAGTTTGATACTTTATTGAATAAAGGTCTGGATTCGTTATAGAAAAGAAATCAGAACATCGATTAAATTCCATCATGGACAAGGGCTGATAAAAAAAGGTAGATAAGCAAGCAACCATGAAAAAAATACAAGGAAGACACGCACTCGAAAAAAAAAGAAAGAGAAAAAAAATCTCATCTGTACAATTATAAATACAAATTGCAATCACGTCCTCAAATCGAGCATAATTCCTAAATGCTCACACGCGCTTTGACATCTATCAGTCTATGAGCGTTCAAA